TACATTTTTTTTACCAAGATACAATGTTGTAGCTGATAAATGGACCTTGAGCCTAACTCAACTCCAAAAGCTAGCTCATGAGAATTGCTCAAGAGCATGTAAGAAGCCTAGGAAATCCACATCCCATTGGTGTGGGACTCAACCTCCCCCCCCCCCCCCCCCTCCCCGGGTCCAAGCCGGCAAACCGAAACGTGGACAAAATTGGGACCAAAAGGTGGTAACAATAAATTGGGATGGGCCTAACCATGATACCTTGACAAAATGGACTTTAGGTCTAACTCGACTTCAAAAATTAGCTCATAAGGTGAGGACTGTCCAAGACCATATAAAGAGCCCAGAAAATCCACATCCCATATCAGTGTGGGACTCTACAGTGACACTGCCAATATCTTCAGATGTAGTAGTTATAGTTACAGTTGTTGATCGCAATCCATCTATCTTCTTTACACTTTTTTCATAAAAATTTCTCACCAAATTCCTGCATAAACTGGAAAGGTCATAGCTATATATCGTATTGGATTTTTGAGAAAGGGGATAGATAACCTTTTTCTTTAAATTTCTCTATTGGATAATATTTTCAGTTATCTTAATGCCGTTTCTCAGCTATTTTTGCCTTTTTTCCAGGAATACTATTTTTTGAAGAAACGCAAAAAAGGAGGATATACATATTTGCTGATAGTGAAAATGTCACATCCTTTCAACACCTTTGCTCTCAAGATGAAAGTACACTGCAGGGATTGTGAAAAGAAACTGAAAAAACGAGCTGCAAAACATTAAGGGTGTTCGTCAGTAGAAATTGATCAAAAACTTGGGAAAGTAATCATCTCAGGCAAAGTAGACCCTGCAAAAATCCTAACAAAGCTTGAAAAGGTTGGGAGAGAAGCAGAATTCTGGTGTGAAAAGAACAGAGTCGTAAAGATATCACACGGTCGAAAGTGATTGATCCACTGAATGATCCTGACATTATGACACAACTGAAGCAATTTTCTGACCTTAGTGATGAAATTGTGGAGGTGAACAAAACTACTACGGTAACTTTCAAAGGGAATCAAGAAAATGGTGGCAACAAGACTGTGGAAATTACCACTATCACAAAAAATGTGAAAAAACATCAAGGTCAAGTGCTTACACATGATCATGATTGTTCACACAGTGGTGGTGGACTTTGTGCTGCTTCTTCATCATGTTGTGGTGGTCACTCTGCTATAAGACATGATCTTCATTATGGATGTTGCCAATATGGTAATAATACTAATTTGGGTCCTTGTTGTGCACATGGTAGAAACTCATGTTATTACCATAGGAAATATGGTAACAATTGTGCGCATAACAGAAACTCATGTTATAATTGTCATTGCCAATATGGTAATACTAGTTATGATTCTTGTTATGCAAATGCATATCAGGGCCAATATGGTCAAATGATATTATTCCCCTCGGCTCCACCTATGCCAGATGACTACAATTAATAGGCATCACCATCACCATCACCATCACCATCGCCACCATCCTCGGCAAGGCCTCAACCCTATTACAGCTTCTTAAGCGACGAGAATGTGAATAGCTGCACAATCCTATGATTTCAGCTTGTTTTTATGTAATAAAAGAGAGGTATATGTAAATGTGTGCGCGTCTGCGTGCAGTGTGTTTGAGTTGTCCCATATCGGTGGGATTTGAGGTCCTTGGTCTCTTTATATGGTCGGCGTGGGATAATACTGGGTATGTTGTTGTTGTGGTCTCTTTATATGGTCTTGGGTAATCCTCACCTCATAAGCTAGCTTTTAGGGTTGAGTTATGCCCAAGATCCATTTACAATGTGTGTGTGTGTGTGTGTGAGAGAGAGAGAGAGAGAGAAGAGAAGAGAAGTGGAGTAGTTCATTTATATAATTACTTTTGTGTACCTACTTAGTTTGTAATTTTTGTGCTCCTTGTACCACTCTTTAACAGTTGCTTTCTTTTCTCTGTTTTTTCCCCTTCTTGTGTTTGCTCTAACAATGGTCACAGAACATTGATTTCCACGGAAACAATTTGTTAGTTTTCCTCTCCTGCCAAAATTTTCAAGAGCATATAATTTGGGCGCTATAGCTGTATGAACTCTCAAAGTTAATAGGGGGACGATCAATATTTAAACATGATTAAGACCTTTTTCTAGTTTCTAAACAACTAATATTAGTGTGGGGCATGTCCATCAAACCTAAGAACTCGGAGAAATGAGAACAAGAAACAAATGGGAGGAGCCAAAATACAAATAAGATGCTACCCCAAGTCAATCGTCTAGTCGAGATCTTCACTTACACAGTAGTAAAGCAAAGCCGACAAACGCTCAGACTTCAGTAACATCTACACATGCTAGTTTGCTAGATTCTTAAGCTCAATGTTCCTATTCCCAGTATATTTTTCCCATGGGCTACTATACCACGTCTCTTACGTATAAATCACCTGGACCATGTTCTTAGTTCAATGTATATAGTAGTGGAACAACTTCCTTACATTTCGCTTTTGTTGCATTTGGAGATTGTGTAAATGAAAAAAAAAACGAGTTCTATAATTTTTCTTGAGTAATATTTATACACGGAAAATAGGGACACAGAACCCATCTAACCTGTAGATCAGCAAAGAGGATCACCAAGAGCCTTGCACAGCTGAAATAGCCATTTATATCATGCTGGATACAAAAGCATCCTACATGGTCAGGTTGAAAGTGCTAATGGAAGAAGAAAAACAAGAAAGATAGTACATAAACGACAATTTACAAGCAATCAAGGTAAAAAACGGTTAAGTTGGAACTTGGCAGGATTAAAAATTTGCATGCTTTAGCTTAGCCAAGTACTCTAATGATACAAACAGGAGAGTATCAAAGAAGCACATCCCTTATATTGGATTTCACAATCAGAGTGAATGTAGCTCTGCGCCAGAATTTGGAGAAGGATGTTGCACGGGGACAGAGCCATCTTCATCCCGAGATTTGTTAGTATGTCCTGTCCATGACAGAAAAGGCAACTTGCGATCAATCACTTCGACTGAGCAATCACGGAAAAATAATGGCAAAAAATATTGGCATGAAAGCTATCCTACAAATACTGAATATGTAAAATTATCTCTTAAAGTCGGAACATGTATATCTAAAATTGCAAAAAAAAAAAAAAAAAAAAAAAAAAAAAAAAAAAAATATTGCTGCACCTCAAAAATTAGTGGTAATTTCAAATCCTGGAAAACTTAACAGCTTAAACCCAGACAAGCTAGACATGTGGGGCAGATGAATCATTGTCTAACCACTATGATGGAAAAATAAGCAATACCTGTGCTTGTAATAGCTGATTAGGTGTTGATCTTGTGCCAAGGAATATGCCTGTGGTTGGGACATCCGGTAATATGGTTCCTTCAGATCAAGTTTTCCGGATGATGTTTGGAGCACATCTCCAACAGTAGCTATTCAAAATTGATCAATGATATGTTAGATTCTCGAAGAAATCTATCAGCAAATTCGATCTTCGGGACAAAGAGACCAACAAGAATACGATACAAATGCTACAACCGACAATGATAAAGACCTACCAGACAATGTTAGATAAATTGTGTAACTTTGTGCCTTATGGGCAACCAGGCGAAGGCTGCCATTTATCTCCTGTCCTGGCATGACATAAAGTGGCTGTGCCAACACGCACCGAAGCTGATACCAGTGAGTTGTAGGTGCACCGGGAGCCGTGGTCAGCACCTCGGTACAGTGCTGCAGAAAGAAATGATGCAATTAACTGCAAAATAGCAACAAGATCCACCGCCAAGGATGCAACAATAACAAAGATTTACCTTCCATTAAAAAGTACATCAAACCAGCAAGCCAGCCCATGAATTCTAGTGCTAGCAGCAGATGTAAATCTCAATGGAATGTCAATTTCATATAGATCTTCTTCCTGTAATATATATGTAGAAAAAAGATCATTTCACCCAGCAGTATGTTTCAGAGAACTTCTGGCCAGAGACTGGTACAATGCAAAATGTAGTTTGCTAAATGACCTTATTTTTCAACAAAAACCGTTGCCTCATATATGAAGTAATTCCACCAGAGATAATTTTTCCCTATCAAAACCCGACTCCACAAATAGAAACTTGTTTCATGACAAGGAAGCATGTATATAATGGATACTAATCCGCAAAAGTAAGAGGAACAGCAAATTTATGCATATTGCTTCCAATAACTTTTGTATATCTTTTTGATTATGCTTTTCTTTTTTTGTGAAAAAGTGTTTATTTTTAAGAAACTGTCTTAGATTCCCTTAACATTGAATTTGTAGGATGCTCTTAACTCGTCGAGAAAAACATATAGTAAAAGCCTATAGAATAAAGGATGTTTCTATCAACTCTGATCTACGACAAACCTTACAGAATGAAATTTCTGATAATACCTTTATCGAAATGAAGTTAATCACTGTGAGATATTGCAGGAGCTACCAATAAACCTCGGATCAAAAGCATCAACCACTGGCTGCAAAGAATATGAATATCCAAATTAAAGAAAGAATAAATTAGCTGTACTAACAATGTCTAAAGGCAGTGTTATCAAAAGCGAAAAGCGCAAAAAAGCTCTAACGTCTGTTAGCGCTTAAAGCGCAAAGCACAAATAAAGCGTGGGCTTTAATGAAGAAAGGCGCAAATGGAGAAAAATTACAAATACGTATGTGTTGTCCAAGAACTAATATCTATAAGCATGAATAACAAATATATGAACAAAGAAATTGAAAAAAATTTACGATAAAGTGAAATATCAATTGTTTAGTGTTGTGTCTTCCGGATTACGCTCGTTAGCAAGGAAAGTATGCCTTAGAGCCTTGATGACAATACTGAAGTGCCCGTTAAGCGAGGCGAAGCGCTCAACATGTTTTGAGCCTCTCTTCAGGGCTTATCGCGCTTTAAGCGCGCCTTTGATAACACTGCTAAAGGGATGATGAGAAAACCAAGTTACCACAAACAGAGCCCCTTCCTCAATAATCAAAGCTACAAAG